GATCTAAACACAGCGTGGGTAGACAGACCGGAGATCGGTATAGTTGCTTTAGTGACCAGGTATTGGAAGCGAGTCGGGAAAGGCGAGGCTGGTGATCATCTGACCAAAGGGTTGGAGCGGCACGCTTGGACCCAGGAGGAACGACCAGGAGGAGCGACGTCACCGTTGGCGCCGTAACCAAAGGATCCGACCCTGGGCCAGGTGTGTAACCGTCACAATGTACTAAATAGGGACTGATCGTTGCACAGTTTGAATCTTAATATATTTGATTATCTCAAAGTAGGCTTACTTTTATATTATGCTGGGAATACGTTTTTTTAATTTAAAATTATTATTGCCAGTCAAAATAACTGGATTTATAAATAAACCATCAATTCATTTCTCATTTTAATAAGCTAGTGTTATTTAAGTGTTTTAAGATAACCAGTTTTCAACTAAACATAAATTGCATTTAATTTCCTTTATCGTTATAACCCTTAGTTCTAGATATAATTTCCCATTTGATTGGTGGTGAAATGCCCTCATTCTTTAATTGCCAGAAATATTTAGAGATATTTTTTTTTTTTTTTTTTTGGTTTTAAATCAAAAAAGTTCATTCGATGATGGTAAAAAGTAAATTTCAAAGATTTTTGTGGAACCAAAATAAGATGTAACATCGTTACCGGAATGTATGTTAGCTCGTTATATATTATCTGCCATACATTGGCAGTTTAAGGGAAAGATCTTATTTTTCGACAGTTGCATTTATTTTTAGAAGAATTTACGCTTTCTTATTTGGAAATATAATGGGTTAATATAAAGTTGTAATTAACAAAAAAACTATATGCATGATATATATATATATATATATATATATATATATATATATATATAGATAGATATAGAGAGAGAGAGATGAGAGATAGAGAGACATAGAAAAATATTCAAATATTAAAGACATTGTCGTATATGATTGCGCTCCTCATATGAATTTCTTCATCATGTCTACCTGTAATTTAAAAAAAAATTGTATATGAGTGTAAATTTGAAATAACTGTTTGAATATAGGCCATCACTGGTTTACATAATTGTTAACATCCGTAGGTTATCGTAAAGTTATATCTTCTTGCCTTCCTATGTTTCTATTTTTCCTTCAAACACCCTCATTGCTCACATGTCCAGTCCATGGTATTCTCAGCATCTTTCTGTCGGACTATATTTCCCTTCCTTTTCTTCATCTGCGAAATTGTATCATAATTAACAGCCTCTCGGACACTGGTTTCCAAACTTTTTCTCTTAAAAAAGTAAAATTTGCTCGCGCTAGCCAAAAATTAAAATAAAAATACTTATATGAAGACACCGGCTCAGTGTAGCAGAAGTACCGGTGAAAAGCTGCATGCAGGCCCACCTCAAAGAAGATCCAGTGAAAAAAAGAGTTAATTATACGGATAGTTTGGTTTTTTTTTTTACGCCATATCAACCTCAATGGGTCATTTAATGCCGACAACTTTTTTTTCTGGTAATATTTTTGTTTTGTCAAAATCTGTTTTGTTAATATTTTTTTCCTTAAATATATAGCTGGTAATATTTTTTCAAAAAACGTACAGCTGAAATATTTTTCAAAAACTATGATATCGTAATATTTTTTTTTTTTTTTATTTATTTATTTTTTTCAGAAACATATTGTTGGTAAATATTTTTGTTTTTCAAAAATTTATTTCTGGAAATAATTTTTATAAAGTATTGAAAAAAAAACCTATTTTTAATTTTTTAGAATGTCTTTTACTTCAGTTTCTGGGTTAACTATTTGCCCATAGCTGGGACCATAACAGGTGCTATCACCCCGGGTCAGGGTTGACCTGGGAATCCCAGCAATTAAATAAATTTTCTTCAAAGCCTCCTGATTACAGGCCTTCTGTTGGACGTGGTTTATCGTTTTTCCCCTGGTCGTGGATATAGCTTATCGTCTTAACCCAGGACGCGGAAAAAAAATCCTAAAAACCCAGGACGCGGATGTAGTTTTATCGTCTTACCCAGGATGCGGTTATTGCTTATCGTCTTACCCAGGACGCGGATTGACTTTATTTGTTTACCCAGGACGCGGATGTAGTTTATTGTCTTACCCTGGACACGGATGTAGATTATCGTCATACCTAGGACGCTAAGGGAGATTTCCTCAGATTTCGTACAAAATTTATCATTGAGTACATTTTCATTCCAATAAAAAATTTGCAAGTTTTTTATTTCTTAATATACTAAATAGCAAAATGCCACATTGATAGAATCGGTCAGTAATTAAAATTGGGACCCATGCATGCAATTAAAAACCAATCCATAATAATATTTTAAATTTTGAAATCATATTTATTTTTACTATATAAAAGTTAAAAGCTTTTAAAGAAATATTTACTTTTCTTTCAATCATTAAATAATAAATTTTCACCTGTTATCCTCTTCTAAAAACATATGGAAAAAACAGTTTTGATGGCGCGCCTCAATTAACAAAAAGGACTGATATTATATAGCAGTCGATTTTTTTTTTAGATTCTTATTTACTTGAAGGTTTTTTTCTGCTGCAACACACCATCTGATTTTGTGCTTGGAATGTTAAAATCAATTTTTCGTACTTTCTTGATTTAACTCATCCAATCCGTATTTAATCAAATTTGATTTCTTCTTCTTCTTGGACTGCTATATATTAGGTCTTCTTGGAGTTGAAGTTTAGTCCATTCCACCGTTTTTCATTAATACCTGGAACATTTTCCACCCTAAAACCTTACCCATTAACGAAACATTGCAAGCATCTTTACACTATATATTGTTATATTGGACTGTGTTCAAATGAACACCATTCCTTAGTAACAGCAGTGTTTTAAAATAGGCAAGAACCCGTCATGCCACGCAAATTATAGCGAAACACAATTCGTATTCCCATGAACCACTGCTATTTAGAACCGACTCCCAAGTGGATGCTTCTCTGACAATTACCATCTTAATATTTACAGGTTTAGGGTTAAGCGTTATCTTCCCTCATATAAAATCTGACTCCTATTTAGTTGTAAACATTTTTACAATAAGTAGTTTTAGGCCATGTACAGGGTGAACATTATTGCAAAAGGATTGTCTTTCACCTTCATAAACGATACAATTTGTGAGTACACATATTTTTGTAGAGAGAGCATTGTTTTGTTTACATTTTGTATCATATATTCGCCATTATTTGCAATGATTGCTGCAAGGAAATTTCCATACAATGTTCTGACCACTTCTTATATATATATATATATATATATATATATATATATATATAGTATGTTCATATATATCTATCTATCTATGGTTATGGATTTAGAGGAGAGAGAAAGAGAGCGATTTAATTGGATTGATGTGAGTTTGTAACCCTGGGTATTGAAAACGCTATTTGCAATAGTCAGACAAACTGATTAATTTTTAAATTTTGGATTTATATATGTTTGCGTATATCGGTGTTTTTATGGTAGTGGGAGAAAAAATTGTCGTCGGCGTACGCAGATACATACACGAAAACGTTCACTCATTTGCGTACGCACATACATACATACACGCACGTTCACTCATTTGCGTACGCAGACATACATACACGCACGTTCACTCATTTGCGTATTTATAACATAAATATACGCACACTAAAATTACGAGCTCCACAAACATAAAAAATTTGCGAACAGTGTGGGACTGGGCATATATGCGCATCCATGTGTTGTTGTCTACATACGTACGCATCTGGTCGCTGTATTCAATGTTGAATTACTTAGCGAACATCTTTTGTCAGTTGCGGTGTCATCGTCCAAACCGTTCGTCTACTTTGATCGCCGAATAATGTTTTCTAAAAACACACGTATGTACGTATGCACACGCCTTTTACATCTTCTATCCGTCTGTTTTCGTTTTTTATATATGATCAAGAAAAAAGACTATGGTAGGTAAAATTGCTATTATTTTTTTTCTTTTAATGCTGTTTTGTTCTTATTTTAAAGCCGGTTATTTCCTTGTTTTTTGGCGATTGCGGATAATAAATGATAGAAACTACAGTTTATAATGCTTATTAGTATTTATGTTGTGGTATTAATTTTTTCTGGGGCGGGGAGTAAGTATAATTGTGGACTAATACGGTAATGTTAATTGTGGTGTGGGAGTAATTGTGGGCTAATTCGGTAATGGTAATTGTGATGCGATAGTAATAGTTCGTATTTTTTATCCGTTTAGCATAAATTGTGACAATATGTATTTGTTTTCATGCTTCCATTTGAAAATTATTTCTGACCTCATGAAAAGCAATTTCTTTTGATGGGTATGATTTTATTATTGGACTTTTTTTTCGTGAAAAAAAAGTACAATTTTTTTGTAATCTTGTTGTAGGCAGGTGCGTTTTCAATTTTTTTCAGCTTACTCTTTGAGTAATATTTCTGTCTTTTAGATGCCATATGTACGTGGATGGTGAAAAGTGCTGTTTGAGTATTTTCTGTTGGAAATGAATGTTTGTTTGTTTTTTTTTTTTTGAAAGAGAATTTGAATTAAAGAAAAGTGGCCCGGATGTAAGACATTGTGCTGATGTTTCAATTACCTTCGCTCTATATATTATATTCGTTTGTTTGCATTTTCCTTGGAGCGGATAAATGTTTTACGAAACTAAAAAAAACATTATAGAAAATTCAACAGACGAACACATCCTGCAACCATACATCTTCAACCAAAGTTGAACCATCTTGAAATGACCTTAAGTGATTTGAAATGCAAATAGAATTAAAAAAAAGAAAGAAAAAAGAAACAAAATACGGAAAAAGGTGAGAAATGAAAGAAAGAGAAAAAAAAAACTTGAAAAAAAGAAAGAAAGAAAAAAAAAAAAAAGAAGGAACGGACACATAAAACGCAAATGAAAAAAAGATTTTTTTGAAAAAAGAAAGAAAGAAAGAAAAGAAAAAAAAAAAAAAAAGTAAAAAAAGAAATGAAAAAAATAAAAAGAAAAAGAAAAAAAGAAAAATCTAAAAAGAAAAGGAAGATTGTGTAAAAAAGAAAGAAAAGAAAAGAAAAAATAAAGAAAAGAAAAAGAAAGAAAAATAAAAAAGAAAGAAAGAAAAAAAGAAGAAAAAAAAAAAAAAAAGAAAAAAGAAAATGGTGAAAAGAAAAAAAGAAAAAAAAAACAAAAAAAAAATTGAAGAAAGAAAGAAAAAAAAAAAGAAAAAAAAAAAAGAAAGAAAAGCAAAAAAAAAAAAAAGAAAGTTGAAAGAAAGAAAAGGAAAGGAGAAAAAAGAAAATGAAAAAAGAAAAAAGAAAGAATCAAAAAAAAAAAGAAAGAAAGAAAGAAAGAAGAAAAGAATTAAAAGAAAAAGAAGAAAGAAAAGAAAAAAGAAAGAAAAAAGAAAGAAAGAAAAGAAAGAAAAGAAAAAAAAAAAACAAGAAAGAAAAAAAAAAAGAAAAGAAGAAGAAAAAAAGAAAAGAAAAGAAAAAATAAATGAAAGAAAAAAAAAAAGAAAGAAAGCTAAAGAAGAAAGAAAGAAAAGAGAAAAATAAGAAATAGAAAGAAAAGAATGAATAAAAAGAAAAAAAAGAAAGAAAAAAGAAAAGAAAAAAGAAAATAAAAAGAAAGAAAAGAAAGAAAAAGTAATTAGTTAAAAGAAAAAAAAAGAAAGAAAGAAAAAAAAAAAGAAAAGCAAAAAAAATTAAAAAAGAAAAATAAAAAGAAAAAATGAAAATGAATGAAAAAAAAGAAAAAATAAAAAAAAGGAGAAAGAAGAAAAAAAAGAAATGAAGGAAGAGAAGAAAGATCGAGAAAATAAAAGTTAGATAAAAAATTTGAATGAAAAAAAAAAAGAAAAAATAAAAAAAGAAAAAAAGAAAAAAAACAGAAAAAAATAAAAAAACCAGAAAGAGAAAAAAGAAAAAAAAATTGAAAAGAAAAAAAGATGGAAAGAAAATGAAAAAAAAGAAAAGAAAAAAAAAAAGAAGAAAGAAAAGAAAAGTGTGAAAGTAAAGAAAAAAAAAAAAAAAAAAAAAAAGAAAAGAAACAAAAGAAGGAAAGAAGAAAAAAAAAAATGAAAGACGAAAGAAAAAAAGAATGAAAGAAAAGCAAAGAAAAAACGAATAAAAAATAAAGAAAGAAAGAAAAAATAAAGAAAGAATGAAAGCGGAAAAAAAATAAAAAAATAAAATTAAAGATATAGTAAAATTTATAAGAAAAAAAAAAAAAAAAAAAAAAATTTTAAAGAAAAAAAAAAAAAAAAGAAAATTAAAAAAAAGGAAAGAATATAGAACTTTTAAAGACTTGAAAAAGGAAAAAAAAAAGAAAAAAAATAAAAAAGAAAAAAGAAACAAAAAGTAAAAAAAAATGGCTGGAAAATAAACAAACTATAGAAAAGAAAATCAAAATTCTGGAAAAAAAGGGAGTAATAAAATGATAAAATTAAATCTTCCAAAAGAAAGAAAAAAGAGGAACAAAGAAAGGAAAGTTCTGGTCGAAATAATTGAACAAAAAAAAAAGAAATAAGAAGGGATTGAAGAAAATTTAAAGGAAAAAAAGTTTTTTTGAATGCTTGGAAAGAAAAGGAAAAATGGTCAAAGGAAGGAAGAAAAAAAGTCTTAAAAAAAAAGAAAAAAAAAAGAAAAACAAAAAAAAATGAAGAAAGAAAGAAATATTGTTTAATGAAAATTAGAAGAAAAGAAAAAAAAAAAAAGAAAAATAAAAAAAAGAAAGAAAGAAATAAAGAAGAAAAAAAAAGTCTAAAAAGAAAAAAAAGAACGAAAAAAAATAAAAAAGATGGAGAATAAAAGACAAAATAAGGAAGAAAATCAAAAAAAAAAAAGAAAGAAAGAAAGAAAAAAAAAGAAAAAAAAAAAAGAAAAAAGAAAGAAAAAATCAAAAAAAAGAAAAAAGAAAAGAAAAAAAGAAAAAGAAAAATAAAGAGGGAAAAAGAAAGGAAGAAAGAAAAAACAAGAAAAAAAAAAAAAAAGAAAAAGAAAAAGAAAGAAAAAAAAAGAAGAAATGGATGAAAATAAGGAAAGAGAGAAAGAAAGAATTCAAAAAATGAAAAAAATAAAAGTTGAAAAAATGGAAATAAGAAAGTATGAAAAGAAAAAAGAAAATAAAAAAGAAAAAAAATAAAAAAAAAAGCAAGAAAAAAAAAATAGAAAAGAAAAAAAAGAAAAAGAAAAAATAGAAAAGAAAAAAAAAAAGAAAGAAAACATAGAAATAAAAAAAATAGAAAGAATGCTTGATGAAAAAACATGCAAATAAAAAACAGATTTTCAGATTAAACAGACGAAAAAAAAAAAGTTAGAAGAATAATTAAAAAACTGACAAAAATCTTAAAAAAACAGAAAATAAAAATGAATTTGGACAACTGGCTAATAAAATTTCATGGTCACTTGTTGAAATAAGAAGAAAGCAAAAATCTCGTCCAAAATTTCAATGCAAAAAAGATTAAAAATGAAAATTTAATAGGGCGTTGTCTTTGAAACCTTAAGAATAGTAGAACATTCAGGATAATTATGAATGGCGAAATGATGTGAAGGAAAATTTGATTTTAGATTTGGGCTATATCATATATAATTAGATGGCTCTAGCTTGGTTATCTTGGACATATAACACAGATTTGTTGGTCTGTTCAAAGGCAAAACTTTGGAACACAATGTTGGATCAAGGAATCCCATTAATCTGTACCAGGGGTGATTCAGTAAAAACACCAAGCTCATTATATACAAGAGAAAACAATTTGGTAAGAGAAAACTTACTCCCACCCCACAATCAGCCTCCCATCTTTTCTTAACATCTTTGTAACAGGAGTGCCGGAAATTCAGGATGAAGTTAATAAAACTTTCTTTGAATTGATACTCATTTTAACATGATGGCTGAGAATTACCCCCAATGCTGAAAAGTGTTCAAACAAAAGTCATTCACTTTAAATAAGTTTCTCAACGAATATCCATGCCTTGAAATGGCAAAAGAAGTCAAAGTAGAAAAATATTATAAAAAAATTAAAGACTGATCTTGTAAGTTTAATTTCACCAAAAAAAATTGAAAAGGAAAAAAAAAACTAATTGAATAAATAAAATTTATATACATCATATTTAACAAAAGATATAAAATTTTTTTTTTTGGTCAAGGGGGGGCGTCATAATGCAATTTCCAGATATAAAATGAGGAATCTTAAATCCTGTAGTTTTTTGCCAAGTTGTTCATGGGGAATTTTAATAATAATAATAATAATAATCTTTTTTTTAATAATAAATAAAAACATGGGCACAGGATGTGTGTTGAAACAGGCTGTTTAAAGAGTGCGAGGTTAGTGAACAAACCGGAAGTGAGGAATTCTTTCAGGTTACAATGACTTACTAACTAAAAACACAAGCACACACTCATAAGGTATTGTTATGATAAATATTGAAATAATGACCATCTTTATCAGGTTTTTTTGGAACCTGGTAAATAGAATGTGAGGAAAGAAATGATATGGTTTATTAGGACAATTTATTTAATAAAAAAGAACCATTTTAAAATAGTTTACGGAGAGTGTGGCCCACAGAACTATGATTTCAAAACTTACATTGTAACTAGATTTTTTTCAACATGTAGTATATATATATATATATATATATATATATATATATACACCAGTTTTCAGATTTATATACAACTAGTAAAGCGTTTTATTAGGTTTTTTTATCGGCATCTACAAAATAAAGGAAAGATAAATTACCATCATTTTAATCGGTGGATAAATGAAAAAACATTTATTTTTTTTTCTTAAAAACACCAAAAAAAAAATCCCTTGAATCATTGAATGAACCTTTAGGGAGCTTTACTAGGAAGAATAAAAAGTAGTTCACGTCAATCAGTTCGTCAAAAACATTTTTTATTTCAGTGTTTTTTTAAGAAATTTCCATAAGCCATAAGGTTTTGAATCAAACTGATTTCGGCTTTGTCATTATACATCCAATGTTTTTCCATAACAGAAGAAAGTTACTTGAAAATTGATTTATAAATTATCAATTCAACTGGCTTTTCGAATAACAAAAGAAAATTTTCCATTCAAAATGGAGCTTATCTACTTTGCGATATAAAAAATGCACTTCCAAAAAAAAATTTTCTAAATGAAAGGTTATGATTTATCTATGAAAAATATTCAGGCACAAATTGCTTCTCCCTCACTAAGAAACACAAAATTTGAATTCTTTTAGCAAGGTCGATATTGGTCAAATCAAACAAAACCAAAATAATATGACAAAAAAAGAAGATGAGATATTTTAGAATTAAACCATAAATATTGAAAAACGGTTTTTTCTTTTAAAGAAATATTTTAGCGGATATGAAAAAAATAAAATAGAATGTTCATATTAAAAAACATCTTTAAATTATAGCAAAAAAACAATTTGATTGTAGTTTGAAAGAAAGTTGCAGTTTGGACAAGATTCATTAGATCATTAAAGGAGATATTTTAACAACAGGAAAAAGAATTATACATTTTTATTTGTCATCTCTGAAATTATAACAAGCATATATTTAAAAACAGGATATACCAATGAAGATGCCACTTTAAAAGGACATATAGGTTTCAAAGCATATTTAAGATACAATGAAAAATATACTAAAATTAGATTGATTAATAAACTCAGACAATAACAAGGTTCAACAGAAATTTCTGAATTCTGAAATAATTAATAGTAAATAATAATAATAAAAAAAAAAAAAAAAAAACTGGAAGGTGAAAAGAATGGAGAATATATATGCAGGGATGTGGTGGTATTGATCTTGGAATTAAAAATAATAAGACAGAAACTGAATGTTTTATATCAAGCAAACTGAAAATAAAAGCAGACCCAGAAACTTTTTCTTGCCATAAGTTCTTTTTTTTTTTTTTAAACTCTAAATCTGTAACAAACATTTTCAAAAGTAATCCATTTCTCTTTTTGTTATATATATATATATATATTCAAGATTTCTTTTAAAATTAAATTCATTTACCATTTCTAAATGAAGAAAAATCATAAGGTAAAAACTACAAACTTATTTTTCCTATGTTGACTTTCAACAGTCTTCTTGATACCACAAAACTATTGGTTGGATAGAAGTGAAATTAGCAATGCTTGCACCAGAGAAATATGCATGCAGTATAACTTATCAGTGCAGAAACTGGCAGAGGCAAGGTAACTTTAAATTCTGAATGAGTATGTTACCCTTAGTAAAATGCATAAATCCAACTGTTCCATCTGGGTCTGCTGCCTCAGATGGCAGCCAGTCTAGGAGAAAAAATGACTAAATTCAAAACAGACAGGGTGGAAAATTATCAGGAAACAACTTTTGCATGAAGTCATGGCACATCTCATATTAAAGAGAGAACATGTGAAAGCCATTGTTGTCTATGTCATGAGTATATGGCATTTAAAAAGAGCAAAGAATGCAACAAAACTTTGAGAACCATAGTAAACTTTTAAAAGAAAATGTATTTCATCATATATCTGATAAATGAATGGATATTATTACCATAAGTCATTTGCAGATTTTGTTTCAATCATTTGAGAACCTACATTTCTTTTAACCACAATAAAGGAAAGGGAGTCGATATATGTATGTGATTCTAATATAATTATTTTGAAATATATATACTTGATAGAATACACATCATAGTAATGAATTAAATTATTTTAAATTGATAATTAACCAATTGTTTTTATCAAAAAAATATCCTTCTGGTGGTGTACATTTTAACAGGTATTGCCAATGAATGGATTTTTAATCTAACATTATTACTTATTACTGTAGATATTCAATGGATCCATATATTTCAGTAGACATACCATATTTTTATTAAATAGTGAAATTAATGTCTAGCAGCTTATAGATATAGAAAATCCTATCAAAGGAAAAGTGTCTCTTACCAGGAATTGAGCTAGTATTCCTTTTATACTAAGAAAACACATTCAGGCATGCTTTACCACTAAGCTGTGAGAAGCCAATTCTCCCACCCCCTCTTTCTTTAGTCCTGCAGATCCCAATGAAGTTTATTAATATTTTTAACTGGGTGTTGCTGTTGTGGTTCCATAGTAAATGTTTTAAGGATTAAATTTTATAGGATTTAAATGTGCATCCTTTCCAAACCAACTGATTTTGTTCAATAGGATTTTTGCTTACAGTTTTTGAAAAAAAAGTTTGGGTTTTCCATCTAAATACTAAATCAGCTCAATCTACTATCTATCTATCTATCTTCTATTAACCTTTTCAAATGAAAACCAGTGTTTCATCATGAAATAATGTCAGATCCATTAAATTTTAAAAATTTTGTTTTTGTTTGGTTTCGTTTACAGCATATCAACCTCAATGGGTCATTTAATGCTGACAACTTTTTTTTCAGGGTAATATTTTCCCCAAAAATCCATTTCTGTTAATATTTTCCTCAAAAAGTGTATAGAAACATTTTTTTCAAGAAAGAATCTAGAAGCCTTGCTGTTGGACGTGGTCTATCGTCATCTCCTCTCCGGATGTAGTCCTGTGTTAAGAAGTTACCATATGGGACTCTAATAGGTGCTATTCAGACGTGAGGTCATCTGTGTTCCAGCATGAAGGTGGTTCCACACTCCTCAAGTTAAACTCCTGATAAGAGGCATCTGCTTTGGACAGAATGGTTTATTGTCTTACTGAAAGACCTTTGAAATGTAATATTGTCTTCAGGAGATACAGTAGTATATTTTATATATGATGGCTTATGGCTTATGGTAAGTGGTAAAGCATACTTGAATTGAAGGTGGTTTCTTAGAATTAAAGAAAAGAAAGAGTTCAATTCAGTTGAAAAATAATTTTTCTTTACTAGTCTATATGCTATAGGCCAGTAAATGTTAATTTCACTGTTTAATAATAATAATAAGATGAAAACTCAAACATATGTAAATACTAAATATAATTGCTAAAGAAAGAAATGATTTACATATATAAAGCTAAATAAAAATGAACCTATTGAAAAGAAGGTTTTTTTCCAAAAGATTAAATCTATGGAATGATTATTAAAAGGCCAAGTCATAGTGCCTTGAATGCTGAGAAAAGGAAAAAAAGAAAAATCTCATTCCACTAGGAGGGACAGAAGATTTTAGTTTGAATTTGTATTTGCAACTAAAGATTGGACAGAAGTTTTTTTTTAACATGGAAAAAGAAGCTTATTTAATTGAAGCAAATGAAAGAAATTTATTTATTTCCTTCAAACTTATTATATTAGTTGATATTTCCATTGAAAAAAAGTTAACATGGTTAAAGTTTTTTTTTTTTTCACTTAAATTATTTTAATATTCTTATTGATGACATTTTTATTCATAAAAAAAAACATTAATTTGAAACTTTATTTTTGCATAATCTATTTTAACAAATGGAAAAAAATTGAATTTTTTATGTTTCTTATACCAAAATTAAATTTTAATTTTACTTGATTTAAAGAAAGAAATTATTTCAAAAATTTCTTATTACAAATGTTACAAAGTTTCTCCCAAGAAAGTTAATTTTTTAACAGATTTTAAAATTAATTTAAAAATGCTATTATTACAAAAAGTTAATTTAATATTTTACTATGATATTGATATAATTATTCATAGAAAACAAATATACTGATGATAAAATTTAAAATGAATAATTTGTTTTTCTTTCTAAAAAGTATTTATAAAAACAATCTATTGAATTAGTTTACTGAAAAAAAAAAATAGAGCAAACATATTTTATATTAAAAATTAATGAAAAATCATTTATTAAAGATATGATTCAAAAATAAGATTACAATATTTTTAGATATTAAATGGATACAAAATGTTAACCCTAAAAAAACTAAACCCCACATTCTTAAAATTTGTTCCTACTTCTCAAATGATAAAAAAGTATATTTATAAAAATAAGTCAATTATAACAATAGTTACTTTAAAAAAAAAACAAAATAAAAAAAAAAAAAAAAATTTTTATGTTTATGTTTTTGTTTTTGTTTTGTTCTATAATCCATAGTTCAGATATGGTTTTTTTATTTGTGAAAAAAATGGAAAAATAATTCAATATAAAAAATTTTTAAAAATAATAAGCCAAAATTTTTTGTTAACAAAATAAAATGATGGAAAAGAATAAAATGATAAAAATATATATAGATATAAAAAAGAACTTATGGAAAGAAAAAATATGTAAAGATAAAGAAAAGAAAAAAGGTTAACTTTTAGACAAAATAATTATTTTAATCTAGAATTTTATTTGATTAGGTAACAAACATTTAAATCCTTGGTCCCAGGATAAGATGAAAATAGGCCTCCAGTTCTGGAAGAATTTGCAATATCTTTTGGCCTTCCAGTAAAAAGAATGGATATAAATTTTTTTTTTTTTTAAATATTTTAGTTTTTACCTCCAATTTATTTTTTGTAATTAAAAATAAAAAAATGTCTTTGTGAAATGGATAGTAATAAATAAAATGGTATTAAGGGATTTATTAAAAATTTTTTGTTTAAAATAACTTTCTAAGAATTATATACAAGTAAAAGAATTGAATAATTGAAATAAAGGACTGATATATTTGTAAATAGGAAGAATAAAGGATTAGAAAATAAAAGAAGAATATAAAATGAATAAGAAGAAAGAAAATGAATTGAATTAAAAAAGCATTTGCTGAAACAACCAAAGAAATACCTGAATTGGTTTGAAAAAAGTGGATAGCACAAAACTTTAAACGATAAATATTTTTTTTTCTCAGTT